TAATACAATGGCTGATTCAGCCAGTTGCTTTTCGTTTTCATTCTTATTTACTTATTATTATTTTACCTCTTCTGTTCGATTTAGTACATTATTTTGTTACTTATGTTTGTATTGTTTCCGTATAGCCTATACAATAGACGATTTAGCGTTTGCTTATTATGATGATGATACGACAACGAATGCTGAATTAACGCCAACGACGGCTGCAATTTTGTCTTTTCAAGAAAAAGTAAGTAGATCAAATGGGGAAAAATATTGGAAACGGTATTCATTCATTCTTCTTCTTCATGGTTTCTCTAGTTGACCATTATGTTCGCACAAATCAATATGACAACAGTATTGACAAAACAAGCTATAGAAACACTATTGTCAAATGGACGAAGGAAAAGAGCGTATGTATCAACTTTTCTAATTCTGCTTAAGAAAACAGCGTAAATCATTTCTTTTGGTGACCTTTTCCACACGTTTAACTTTTATTAGATCTGCAAAAGCACCGACGAAACAGTCTGCGACGCAATGCGTGGTCGGTCCTGGCCAAAGGCGAAAACGTCGTGCCGTCACCACATCGGATAACAGTACGGATTTGAATTGTCAACAATTGTGTTCAAACCATAATGTTCAAGAGATAATAAAATTGCTTGACAACGCAATCAATTCTACACAAAGTAATGTTCTTGATGAATATCGGGTCGATTGTGGCCTGGTTCCTCAAGGCGGAGCTCTCGTTAACATGACATTTACAAGTTACAGTCGCAATATTACTGTCACAATGGGTAATCGCGAGTTCATCCGTCGGATAGCTGGCGGCGGTTTTATCTAATTTTTCCTCTTTGTTTAGAATCAATTTCTTCAAATCCGAACGCGACAGAATACAGTGACCCGTGTAGTGAGTATTTATTGTGTGCGCTTATTCGGGCATTTGTATGCTGCTTGAAGTATGTGGTCTCGGGGCGATGTGAAGGTTTGCATCCTTTCATTCATGTTTTTCATGCCGAAGGAAGCATTCTGAAGTCGATTTCGACTTCTTTCTGAAACGGCAAACATAGCATGCCGGACATGAATTGGAACATGTCCGATGTTTTACTGTGCGATCACCTTAGTCGGCCTCATATTCCTTGGTCATATTGATCTTTCTGTTCCCATCTACAGAAAAACATATGCAGCATACGTTTCAGTCAGAAAGTTTAAAGCGATGTGGTGGGTCTAACATGCTGTTCTGAACGTGTCAAAGTTGCTTGTATTAATGAATCTTGTCTCGATGGCAACTGGACCGCAGTGCAACTGACAGAAAGAAAATAAATCCAGTTGCAGAACATATATAACGCTTTAGACATTTTCTGGTTTGAGCACCATTCAAAATATTGAAGGCCGCTGAGTTATCCAACTTCGACACACTGAAAATAGCAAAGTATTTGCTTTGCTCGAAAATAGATTCCATAAGAATTTTGAAAGCCTTAGAAGATTCACCGGAGAATTTTGCATCTTCTCACATATTTTTCGAAATATTACAGTGAAATCTTCAAAAGAAACTCTCTCTGTGCGAAAAATTTAACAAATCTAATTTCTAAATCTATTTTTCAAAAGACTTTAGTTGTTTTACTATAAAGAAGTAAAACGTTCTGAATCAGGGATTTTAGTTTTTTTCACCTTGCACAGAATTAAATTCTGCATTGTTTGATATATAAACAAAGTTTCTCAATTGAAATTATTAATTAAAAGACTAATTTAATCTAGAAGAATTGAAGAGCTGGTTGTGACCTAATCATAATTCCAGCTGGTGCAGAGGAAACATAGTATGAAGCTGTAAATGAGTTCGATAGAGGACAAAATTCTCTATCCTTGTACGTAGAAAAATTAACTATTGAACCTCAGACAATGGGCTAAAACTCTTAGAAAAAGGAGATGACAGAAGTTCGTGGCAGCTCGACAACTTAAGCCTGTTCAATATTCTGAATGATGCTCAAACGAAATGCTGTCAGAGATGTAAATGGCAGGATTTATAGAAAATTCAATTCTCTATCGATTGAGCTCAGAACATACCCTTTGGACCACTGAGAAGTGGCTCAGAAACAACGAGCAAAAGTATTCAATTTTATCTGGACCACTCCCCATGAGATTTCTTCGTTGCGTTAATAACGCGTTAAAGCCCGTTTTTTAAGTGGACGATAAAGTGCGTTATTAGCATACTTTTCTTGTTACAAAAGTTTAAGGCGATGTAAGAGATTAAACTTTAA